TGAAAATAACTTATTTAATATCTCTTTCTCGTGCATCGCACGAGGTACGTACTAGTAAAACATAAAACAAAGACTATTTTTTGAGTACTTTCTTTGTGATAAACCAAGGCCGAAGTGCGGATTTTTTCATATTTTATCGTGTTCGAACCAAGGTCGTTAGAGCAGGTTCGCAAAAAACTGAATCCCGATATACGATCTTCATTGGTATGACAAAGACATCCCTTTTTAATAATTTTATACCTTTTCAATGAACTTTGCAGCAATTCTGCAATTTTGAGTACATAAAATTTCAAAATTATTATTATTATTTAGTTATTGTAAAAAAAATTTGTAGGCATAAAATTCCACGCTTTATGTAGATTTATCAATTTTACAAATAAAATGAGATTTATTTTATATTGAATGGAGACTAAGACAATTTTGAAAAAAAATATGTCTATTTTCAAAAGTATCCTCTTGATTTTTGAAACAATGCATTTGTAATTTGATTTAAATATTGTAAAACTAGTACAATACCCGTGTATTACACGGATGTTTGTTAAAAAATTATTATAAACTTAAAATTAATGAGAAAACTATATTAAATTTAGTTTACTTTTAAAAAAAAAAAATATTACTATATATTTTAGAATGATATGTGTTTGTTTAGCTTTTTAGTTTTGTTTGTTTAGGCGTTCTTTGTTTCGTGTGGGTTGTTTTAGTGTTGGTTGTTTTGTGTTGTTTAGGTTGGTATTTTTGGTTTGGGCATTTAGCCCCTGTGAGCCTGCGGGCATTACTCCGTTTGGGGTCGTTCCACATTACCTCGCTTGGGGTCGTTCCACATCACCCCGACAAAAGTTATTAACTTTTAAAATATATATACAATTCAATAGTTATAATAAGGAATGATATTAAAATGCAATTAATACATGTAACATGACCATAAATAATCAACATATTTATGGTAGTCCGAACCTAATTATTTTTTTTTTGAAATTAAATTAAAATTTACCCAAACATAATAACGAAGCATGTAATTTTGCCACATAGGATTTCGAAGCACCAAAAGCAACCACGTAGGCTCAGCGCGTTCTGGATTACTATATAGGAGGGATTTGAAACTTATGGAAAAAAAAAAATTTAAGAGATGAATTTCAATTAATTTAAAATTCTTAAACCATTTTGAATTTTGTGCAGATTGAAACCAAAAAAAATGAAAATTCATTATGATTTTATAATTTCCAAGAGGTTTGTTAATTTTAAAGTGGAACAAAATCTTTCATTTAAGGATATAGATAGAAGCATGTGATTATATATTTTTGAAATTCAGTTTGAATAAATCCTTTATATTAGGAAGAGATTTTGAATTAAACACAATTTTATGGCAACTAAAATGAGAAGGGATTTTGAATTTCAAATTTTCAATTCAAGATCTAAGGACAATTTTTCGGCAATCTGTTTGTTTGAAATAAAAAAAACACAATCGA